CTCCTACACCTTCTCCTACTCCGCTCCTCCTCTTTTTCCCTCTCCTCCTGCTCCTCCTCCCCCTTCTCCTCCTCCTCGACCTCCTCCTGCTCCTCCTCCTCCTCCTCATCCCCATCCTCGCTCTCCTCCCCCCAGCCCTGAGGTTCTTCGCCGTTTTCGGTCTCTCGGGGCCCTCCACGGGCCCCGGAATTGTCAGAAACGACTTGGGATGAAGACTGGTCCTGGGGGAAGGCACCAGGGTCTAGGGCCCGTTTCCCTAGGACCCGTTGCCCGCATGCGAGCACACCCGTTGCTGGGCTCTCTTTGCCGCCTCCAGTGAAGATGCCGCGGCAGTTCCGCGTGCTATCTATCGGCCGCTCCACCACGTCTTGTTCGCAGGCATCGAGCTCGCGGAGAAAGGCCACACCCCTGGCTCCAGGCCGTTTCCAATGGTCAATCCCGTATCCTGCGTTGCGCAGAAGGCGTGCCAACCACCGACGAGGTAACATGGACCCAGCCTCCTGCTAGAGCCGCTTGGCGCAGTCGCCGACCGTCTCGCCCCCCATGGTACCTGGCGGCGGGGCCGCTTGTATCTAGTGAGGCCTCCCAGGTGGGGTCAGAGCAGGTGGGATCAGAGCATCGCCGACGCATCGGCGATGTGGCTCAATGTGGGGCCGCATTTTCTCCACGCCGACGTCGGCGATGCATCGCCGATGCTTCGGCGAAGCATCGAAGATGCGGCGCGATGCTCCGACGCCATCTGCGCTGCACCCACCCTGGGAGGCCTCTGCTGTACACAGCACGTCGGCCTCCGCGGTCAAGGGGTCCCCGCGCGCCGGGCCTCTCGCCTGCTCGCCCTGGACCCTGCCGCGCGCAGGAGGGGGGCATGGGGCAAGGGGGGTCAGGCCTCTTAGACGCAACCCGTCGCCTCTCAGAGTGGCGCGGGCCCTCGTCTGCAGAGGCCTTGGCATCGCTCGGACGTATGCATTCTTTCTCGGCGAGGACCATCGAGGACCACCCTGGACCATCGAGCAACAAAAACACGCACGAAGCCGAACCATGCACGGGACATGGACGTCCGAGCGACGGCAAGAGGCGGGACCCGCGCCTCAGAAGCAGGCTCGCCCCCCCTCCCTGCGCGCTGCCACGGGGGCGCCGCGCGGTGCCGCGCAGCCAAGGGGCGCGCTCGCGGCCCGCGCCGCCACGGCGCGACCAGCGCGCGCGGGCCACGCGCACGCGCGCGCGCGCCGCGACCCGCGCCAGAGGGTCGAGCTGCGCCGCGGGCCGCAGCGGCCAGAGGCGGAGCACCTCGTGGTGCCCGCCGCTCGCCGCCGTTCCCAGGGGCCTGCCGGTGGAGTCGCCGCGGGGGAGGAAGGAAGAGAGGTGCGCCGAGGCCGCCGTGAAGCTCCTGCCTCGTCCCTCGCCTCTTCGGGCCTGCCGCGGGAGGCCCCCGCAATGAACCACCGCGGGCGGCTCCTCGAGGCCCCGGGCAGAACGCGCACCCTGGCCGGGAGAGGTCCGCGGAGCAGCGGCGGCGGCACCTCGTGGCCTTGCCGCCGCAGTGGGGCAGCCCTGGGCCGAGGCGGCGGGCAGGGCGCCGCGGCGCGGCGGAGCCCGCGGCACCAGCAGCGAGGGCAGCACCCGGCCAGCCCGTGCAGGGCCGGGCCAACCCGGGCGCTGGCGGGCGGTCCCTCGCGGCGCGCGCCTGCCAGCGAGGGCGGGCGGCAGAGCTCGCCGGCGGCTGCCTGCCGAGGCGGCGGCGGAGGCGAACCCCCGCGCGTGGCCTGGCCGCGCCGCCCAGGCCGCGCTGGCCAACCTTGGACGGAGGCTGGAGCCAGAGAGGTACCAGAGCGCCACTTTTGGGCGGCGGGTCGAGAGCGGGCCTCTTCCGGTTAAGAGCTAGGCGGGGCGCGCGAAGCACTAATTGGGGAGACAGGGCGCGGGCGGGCGGGGCCTCAGGCGGCCGGAGGGTGCGGAGAACAGGTGCGCCGTTCATACGCAAGCGCGCCGATCTTGGTCGGGCCTCTGCTGGGACCATGGTCACCGCGCATGCCTCTTTGACTGAGTGGGCCACGCAGTTCCGGCCTGCACCACAACCAGCCGCGAATGTGGTGGGACCCTTGCGGAGAGTGAGAATGCTCAGGAGAAGGATGGGGAGGAAGAGGAGGACGACAACGATGAATGTGAATATGGGGGCGGACAGTAAGACGAGGAAGAAAACGAGGAGGAGAGGAGAGAAGAGAAGGAGGAAGAAGAGGAGGAGGAGGAGGAGAAGGATGAGGAGGAGGAGGAGGAGGAGAGGAGGAGGAGGAGGAGGAGGTGGCAAGGTGTGGGAGGAGGTGTGAGGAGGAGGGAGGAGAGGAGGGGCGGAAGTGGTAGGGAGGGTGAACGAGGAGGAGGAGGAGGAGAAGGAGGAGGAGGAGGAGGAGGCGTGAGGAGGAGGAGAAGGAGAGGAGGGAGGCGGAAGAGGAGGGGGGAGGGGGGAGGGGGAGGGGGAGGAGGGGAGGGTTGCACCCGTTTCAGGGGGATTCAGGGGGCTGGGCAGGGCCACCATACATGCGTAAGTGGTGCCGCCTGAGGACTGGCCCGGCGTCGTGGTCAACGTGGGGTCCGGCCTGATCATGGGCCTCCGGGAGGCCCTGGGCGGCATCGTCTCCGCCAGCCTGGTGTTCTCGTCCTCGGACATCCCAGAGATCAGTGCGATGCTGCCCTGGGGGATATCTCGAAGGAGAAAGAGCGCCCTAGACATCCACTTGTGGCGCTCCGCGCAGATCTCTTGGCTCCGCGCTGGACCCCTCGGCGGCGCCCCCGGCGCCGCCCCTGGCGCTCCCGCGCGCCATGCAGAGGGGGTCCAGCGCAGGTCCAAGAAGTCCGCGCGGAGCGCCAAAAGCGTATCTTGCTGGCGTGCTGTTTCTGCTTCCAACATCGATGACCCTGTACACGATGTCCTTCGGGGTGCTGTGGTACTCCGCGGGCGCGAGCTGCAGGGGGGCTCGCACCATCCGGGCAGCCATTCTTCAGGAGAGGCAAAAACCCACAGACACAATGAATCGTCGATCCCCAGGAAATGTGGGAAACTATAGGAAAATTTGGGGGGAAGACAAAGACCCAGAACATATGGGAAAGTATGGGGCATCTTTTTTATTTGTGCGTATTCATTTGTGTGTCCTATAGGGCCCCTTCAGGGATGCCAGGCAGGCCCATGACGAGCATTCGTCGCTCCGCCGCGTGCCGGAACGCCCTCGGGAGTGTTCCCGAGCGCGGCACGGCCGCGGTGCCCGATGTGTGTCCTCCCCAATCTCAGGAGGGAGAGAAACACACAGACACAATTAATCGTTGATTCCCCAGGAGATATGGGAAACTATGGGAAGTGGGGGGGAAGACATCAATCCAGAAACTATGGGAAAATATGGGGCGTCTTTGTTTTTGTGTGCGTTTATTTGTGTGTCCCAGGGCCCCTCCCAGATCGCCGTGGTTCAGGTGCTTCCGAGCTATCTCCGTCCGATGCCCTGGCTTTCTCTTCGCAGGCGATGCTCTCTCACACAAGTCTCGAAGTTCCGATGAGAAACGAAGCCGCTCTGAACATGGGGGAAGCCCTGGGATACTCCCCCCGGGGGCCCATGCGGACGCACCCCTATCGAGGATGGACGCCCCCCCCTCGTATATCCCTGAACTGGGCCCCACATGTCCGGTCCGCTCGAAAACCTCGCAATACCTGGGATAGGGCTCGACAGATCTCCTGTTAGAGGGGCGTGGTAGAACAAAACAAAATAAACACAAGTCCGGGTGCGCCCCGTCGCCAGGTGGACCGTCACACTGCACCAAGGTCGTCGAGGCAGGGCCTCCTGCCTGGCGCACCTCCGCACTTCCTCCCCCCCCCCTCCAACTTCCCCTCCTCCTCCTCCCTCCTCCTCCTCCTCCTCCTCCTCCCTCCTCCTCCTTCTCCTCCTCCTCCTCCTCCTCCCTCCTCTCCTCATCCTCCTCCTCCCTCCGCTCCTCCTCCTCATTTTCATCCTTCCTCCTTCTCCTCCTCACACCTCCTCCTCTCCTCCTCCTCCTCCCTCCTCTCTCTCCTCCCCCCTCCTCCTCTCCTCCTCCTCCTCCTCCTCATCCCTCCTCCTCTCCTCCTCCTCCTCCTCCTCCTCCTCCTCCTCCTCCTCCTCCCCCTGCGCGCTTGCTGCCAGGGGCCACCCTGTTGCAGGAACCGCTCGCGTGGCCAGGCCTTGCCGGTGGCCTGCAGGCGGCACCCGCGCCGCCTGTTTGCGGGACACTTTGGTGGTGCGAGCTCTGGGCGGCCCATTTTCCACCACCGCTGCCATAGGTAGGAGAGGGAGGAGGAGGAGGAGGAGGAGGAGGAGGAGGAGGAGGAGGAGGAGGAGGAGGAGGAGGAGGAGGAGGACCTCCTCATCCTCCCTTCCCCGTCCGACACATTGGTGGTGGTGGTGGAAACATTTGCCACCACCTCGGAGCTCGGCCCGATGGGCGGGGGCTTCTTCGCGAGGGGGGGGGGGGGGGGGGGGGGGAGCGTCAGACCAGCCGCGCCTGGTGGAGCCGTGGTCGACCTGCGGGTTTGGACACCTCTGGCTGGGTAGTCGAAGGCCAGACTGTCAGATTGGATTGGGCCCCAAGGGCCAATCTGGCCCGGCCAGACTGGATGATTTGGGTTATTCGCCAGACTGGACTCGCGTTGGCTCCCTCGCCAGATTGCCCCCGTTTGCCAGATTGGGCCTGCCAGATTGGCGCCAGATTGGCTTCGACTACCCAGTCTGGAGATGTCGTCGATGTGCTTGGCACCGCTCGGACGTGTGCATTTCTGTCCTGGCGAGGACCATACCGAGGAGCATCCTGGAGCATCGAGCAACATAAAACGACACGCACGAAGCCGAACACTGCACGCGGAACGGACGTTCGAGCGATGGCGGGCGCGATGGGTTCCCGCAGGGGCTTCGGGAACATAGCTCCCCCTGTTCGCGGCTGGTCGGAGGGTGCGTTGGGGAGCTGGGGGGCACGGGCCTCGGAAGGTATGCGATATTCGGGCGCCTGCAGTACGGGTACGCCACGCAGCAGGATCTGATCTGCATCCTGCAGGCTGAGATGGCCGCCCACATCGCGAGCCACCTCCACACAAGCCACCAGGAGGACCAGATAGGCGCGACAGTGGTCGCCGTGATCTGCCTCAGCGCGATCCTTAGTGGCAGCTGCAGCATGCTGACCGGAAAGCTGGGCCTCGGCAGATACATGCTGCTGTTCCCCACTACGGTCACCAACGGCTTCCTCGGGGCGATCGGCGTCGTCGTCTTCCGGGCGGCCCTCCAGACCGCTTCGGGAGTGAAGTTCCACTATTTCTACCCTGTCGACCTCGAGGCCTTCCTGAGCCTCGGGAGCCTGGCCCAGTCCGGGTGCATGTTAGGCAGCGTGGTCTGCATAAGGGCCGGCCCGGTCGTGCTGCGGAGCTGCTTCCCGAAGAGCAGCGTGGTGGATCGGCTCGGCGGCCTCCTCTGCCAGCTGGTTCCGCTCCTGGTCTTCTACTGCGTGGTGTTCACACTGGGACTGAGCATGGTGGGCCAGCGTTCCATTCCGGCCTCAACCCTTGAAGTCGGCACTGCGCCGCATCTGTTCAGGAGGAAAAGAAACACACAGACACAATTAATCCTCGATTCCCCAGAAAATATGGGAACATATGGGCAGTGGGCGGGAAGACAAATGGGGAATCATTTTATTTGTGTGTATTTATTTGTGTGTCCTGGGGCCCCTTCATCTATGCCCACCTCCGATGTCCTTCTGTGACCAATCGTTCGGCGGCGAGGCGGGGGGGGGCAGGCGAGAATTGGGCGGGCCTTCCCGGAAGGCCCGGAAGGCCACCATGCCTTCAGAAGTTGCCGAAGCCTTTCCCGGAGACGCATGAGGAGGAGGAGGAGGAGGAGGAGGAGGAGGAGGAGGAGGAGGAGGATGAGGAGCGCTTTTAAAACGACGCGAAGATCGGGACAAAATCGGATCGGGATAAGTCGAAATCTCTGAGAATCGGCGGGTTTGGAGGATGTATTGGGCGCCGCGGCCGCTCCAGAGCGTTCCGGAACGCTCTGAGAGCGCTCCGGAACGCTCTGGAGCGATTTATCCCGATCCTAGCCTCGTTTTAGCCTTCTGAGAAGGCCACCTCATTCTCACTCCCCCCCCTTTGCTCGCCACCGCGTATTAGTCGGGGGGCCCGGTTTTGCTTCCCGGGTCGTGTTTTTTGCGGGCCCCTGGGCCCGAAGGCAGGAGGCCGAGCATGCCGAACACCCAGCATCCCGTGTTTTTTTTCGCGAAGCCTCATTGGAGGTCTGGGTTGGTCCAGGTGTTTTTATGCCGTGCTCCTGGGCGCTCTCAAGCAGTGCTCCTCGACACACGCCCCCAAACTGTGACGGCCTCTAGCATGTGACCTGCCAACCACCCACGGGTTCGGGGACTCCATCTTCCTCCGCTCCCTCCGCTTCCGTCTGCTGCCCCCCTCCCGATCTCTTTGTTTTGTTTTTCTCTCTCTCTCTCTCTCTCTCTCTCTCTCTCTCTCTTTCTCACAATATATATATCACGCTTTCTCTGTCTGTCTCTTTTTCTCTATTCCTCTCCCATCCTCAGTGTCCTGCTTCTTTCTTTGTTAGTGTGCCGATGCCAATGTTTTAGCAGCAGAACGCGGATACTAAAGCATCCCCTTTTAACCCTTATACCTGTTTATCCATTTGGTTGGATGTGGAGAGGCCGAACTTTAGAATCCCCTCCAAAGTTCCTATCGCAGCTCTGATCTTCATCTTATGCATCGCACCATGAATAATCCTTGTTATCATGCTTGCGAGGATGTCTCCGGCGAACCGCACAGTTTCGGAGATCCGCCGGGATCGCTACTATCAACTATCAGTTTGTTGTCGATGGAGTCTGAAGCAAAACGCTGCTTGTTGTAAAGAGTCACTGGTCGCGAACATGTCATTTTTGTGGGGATGTCTCAGGCCAAGCGCTCGGTGTTTTTAGCTCCCCCTCCCCTTATTCCGTCCCCGCAGACATCCGAACACCGATATCTCCAGGATCATGTTTATTATCCTCCTTGGACCCCAAGGGAGTATTCTCACCGGCATAGTGTTAAGTAGTTGGTTTTTGTTTGTTTGAGGGTTGCATCGTGTGCCACTTTCAGTTTCGTTGTCATGTTCTTGCTACTGCGTCTGTCCCGCTCCCGTATCGTCTCCCTCTCGCGATGCTGTGTCTGTTCCCATCTGGTCTACTTCGTTATCACTCCTTGTCACCGTTCCTCTTCTCTTCGCTCGCCCCCCGCGCAAGGCGGACCTCGCGGGCTCGGGGTGGACCTACCCGGGCCAGGGCAGCCACGGCCCGCGGGAGTTCTGGACGACCTACCCGCTGGCGGACGTGCACTGGCCGGCCGTCGCCCACTGCCTCCCCTACATGCCCGCGCTGGTGTTGATGTCCATCATGTGCACGATGATCGGTGCCCTGGGGATGCCGTGCAGCATGAGCGCACGCCCTTTTGGCCTGCGTCCTCTCAATCGCTCCTTCCGCCTCCCTCTCCTCCCCTCCCCTCCCGCCTTCTCTCCCCCTCCTCGGCCTCCGCCCGCCTCCCGGCGGAAACCGTGAAGAGCTCGGTGCCCGCGCATTCTGCAGAGAGCCCCTGGCGGAGGAGGACCGCCCTCCGGGTGGGGTCGAGTGGTGTGACCCTCAGCGTGGGGCAGGCCCCTCCGAGTGGCCCCGCCTGCCACTCCTACAAGCCCTCTCCTCTCCTCTCCTCTCTCTCCCTTGGGCTCCCCACCCCCCCCTCCTCCCCGGCCGCCGTCCTGGCCCCCGGCCCAGGCCATCCCTGTCCCGCCGTCCGTCGATACCCACCTGTCGGCGCGCCGCTTGTTCCGACCGACGCGCGGCCTGCGCCTCGGGAGGGGCGCCTCGGCCACCGGCGGGGCAAGCGCCGCCTCGGACGCGCTGGGCCTGCCGTGGGGTCTGCCGCGGTGCGGGGCTCGCCTCCCCGGGGCGCGGGACGCAGAGGTTTACCAGCCTGGAACATATCCCTATCCCTATGCTGGGCACCTCCTCATCACGATGCCAATCTTAGGGATTCCCTTGTTTTTTGATGGCGAATCCCTAAGACTGTCATCGCCTTTTGGCGTGTCAATCTTAGGGATAGGGATACGTTCGAGGCTGGTAGGAGGTTCGCCGTGGGTTGGCCGCGGCGTCGGCGCCGTCCCCTGGGGAGCGCGCTCCCCGCAGGCGGCGTGGCGGCGGGTGCCCCCCGCCGGGGGCAGCTGCATGCCCACGGCAGCTGCCCGGGGCGCCCCCTCGCCAGGAGCGCCCCTGTGCCCCTTCGGGGCTCGCCGCACGGCGCAGCGCGTGGCCTGCCGCACGCCGGGCCTTTCAGGAGGGAAAAAAACACACAGACAGAATTAATCGTCGATTCCCAGGAAAATATGGGAATTGGGCGGGGAGACAAAAACCCAGAAAGCATACGAATATATGGGGAATCTTTTTATGTGTGTATTTGTTTGTGTGTTCCAGGGCCCCTTCAGTCTTGGCATCGCTCGGACGTGTGCATTGTTTTTCGGCGAGGCAGCGAGGACCATCGAGGACCACCCTAGACCATCGAGCAAGAAAACCACGCGCGAATCCGAAAAATGCACAAGAAATGAACGTCCGAGCGGCGGCAAGGGGTTCCAGAGCTCTCGGGTGAGCGCCGCCGCCCAGGGAGGTGGGGCGGCACGCTCAATGCCCCTCCGCCCGCGGCCGCGCCGTGGGGTGTCGGGCCCCGAGTCTCCAGCAGTGGCGCAGCGTCCTGGCGTGCCTGATTATGGGCCTACCAAAGAGTGTTCTGAGAACCTTCTCTGTGGTTTCCACGAGATGTTCTCAGAACGGTTCTGGCGGGGGCCGTCTTTTTGTTTGACACCTCGGGTGCGCGTTCCGAGAACACTGCGTTTTGGTTGTTCTTAGAACAGTTCTGGGTTCTGAGAACCCTTCGCGGTAGGGCTACAGTCAGGAGGGAGAGAAACACACAGACACAATTAATCGTCGATTCCTTAGAAAATATGGGAAAATATGGGCAGTGGGGGGGAAGACAGAAACCCAGAAAATATTGGAAAATATAGGGGATATTTTTATTTGTGTGTATTTATTTGTGTGTCCCAGTTCCCCTTCATACAGGACTGCCGGGACGGCCGGTCCCTGCTCACGAGTCGGGTGCACACGGCCACGCGCCTGGCTCTGAGTCGGGGCACGTCCCTCTCTGCAGGAGGAACTCCGACATGGCTTGGGGTCTTCGAGGCTCGAGGCTCGAGGCAAGGCTGCAAGGCTTCGAGGCTCGAGGTTCGAGGTTCAAAACTCAGGAGGGACAAACACACACTGGACACAATGAATCGTCGACTCCCCAGAAAAGATGGGAAAAGATGGGTAGTGTGGGGGGGAAGACAAACACCCAGAACATATAGGAGAACATGGGGAATCTTTTTTTGTATATTTGTGTGTATGTATTTGCGTGTCCCAGGGCCCCTTCAAGAACTGGTGAAACACACGGGTGCGAGGTTCGAGGTTCGCGTCGTGCGCTTCTTGTACAGTCTTGTGTTGGTTCCCGGCGCCAGCATTTTGCCTCTTCTGGCACTCCGCCACCGGGTTCCTGCACAAGGCGCTCTTTTGCAAGCACGTCATCTTCGGCACCGCCTGATCCCGAGAGGCTCTGCCTCCTCCCGGCCTGGCCGTGCGGCCGCTCTCCTTCTGCCCCCCCCCCTCTCTGTGAATCCGAGCCTCGCGCGGCCCGCTCAGCTTCGACCGGAAGAGGTGCGCCCTCGACCCGCGGATCAACAACAAGGTGGTTCCCGGCCGGAGCTTCGGCCACGTACAAAGCCGGAGCTTCGGCCACGTAAAAGCCGGAGTTTCGGCCACGTTCGCAGGACAGCCTTGCGACGCACACGAGTCGTGTATAGTATCGCCGTCCGCTCCCATCTCCTGCTCCTCCCCAAAAATAAGTCGGTCCCCGGCGGCTCCTCCGGCCTCGGGAGATGCCCTCGGGCAGCGCCGCGCCCCTGCCGCGGGGGCAGGCCGGCGGTGCCCGGAGGGCCCCGCGCGGGCCCGCGGAGGGCGCCCCGAGCTCTCTGTGGCCCCCCAAAGCCCAGAGAGGCCTGGCAGCAGGAGGGGAAGAAGAAACACGCAGACACAATGGATCCTCGACTCTTCAGAACATGTGGGAAGATATGGGTAGTGGGGGGGGGAATCGACCAGACGTAAGAGTGGCCTTTCGCCGGAGTGACCTTTGGTGCGGGCACGGGTGGGCACCCAGATGGCTGAAGACGAAGCAGTAGCAGCTGCTTGTGCACCCAGGTTTGGTCCCCCCGCGGCCCCCAAAAAAGTCGCGCACCAAAGGTCGCTCTTATCCAGGGTCACTCTTGCGTATAGCCGAGGGAGGACCGAAGCCCAGAAAATATGGGAAAATATTGGGGAATCCTGTTATTTATGTGCATTTATTTGTGTGTCCCAGGGCCCCTTCACATGCACGCCGACTCGACCAGCAAGTCTGGCGTGCGATGCGCGCCGAGTTTGGGCGCAGTCTTGCTACCAGGTTGAAGTCGGGCCTGTGCCCCTTACAGGGGGATTTTCGACGACTAATGAAAAACACCTCCAAAAATGCCCGAAAAAGGTCAAAACATATTCAAGAAATAGTCCCCAGACTATTTTTGAAGTATTTTTGGGGAATTTTTCATTTTTCGTCGAAAATCCCCCTGTAGGGGGACAGGCCCGCCTTAATATTAGGTCTGCAGATCAGGAGGCCCATGTCGTAAACACTCTGGGGGGGCAGGGGTGTCTTCGCGCGCGGTGAACCTATCCGCATCTGCGCCCCCGCGGTCTGGGCCGGTTGGAAGGGCGGACCGGCCTGTTTTTGTTTGAGGCTTCCTCTCACCATGTTTGACCCTGATGCTTAAACATTGACAACAGTTTCACAGTTGAAGGGCGGGTGATTTTCAAAAATGTGGCTCTCGCCTCAGCGTCGCCCTCATTCTGCAAGAGTTTCACGTATTCAGGGCGGGCCGTTTCCAAGATGTGGCTCTCGCCTGAGTGCCGCGCACATGTTTAATACATTTGCAAGAGCTTCACGAATTGATGGCGGGTCGTCTTGAACATGTGGTTCTCGCTTGAGCGCCGCCAGGGCGGGCCATTTTCAACATGTGGTTCTCGCCTCACCTCCGCGCACATTCGGATTGAGGGCGGGTCGTTTTCAAAATGTGACTCTCGCTGTAGCGCCGCGCACGATCTTTGTAAAACTTGAACGAGTTGCACGGATTGAGGGCAGTTCCTTTTCAAAGTGTGGCTCTCGCTTGAGCTCTACGCGCATTCGTTTTAAGAAGTTGAAAGAGTTTCACAGTTTGTCATGGCTAACGTTCCAGATTTGTTTGTTCCCGGACCGATTCAGGATTGCCAGGGTGCAGCTGTTACGTTGATTCGCGGTGCTGAAGTCCAATGAGTGGTGTTCTGGTACGGTTCAGGGTCGCCAGGACGTAATCGTCGGGTGAACTCGTTGCGTTGAAGTCTTGAGAATAGTGTTTGGGCGCGCGTCAAGATTTTCAGACGATAGCCCCCCAACGGGGCAATTCCCTCAGTGGAACTGACCCTATGCAGGGGCCTATGAAGAGGGATCTTGGAGGGAGGGTGTATTTCAACATCGTTGATGAGTCTTGGTTTTGCACTGGTCCGCATCCCTTCTCCTGCTCTCCCTCTCTCCCGTCCCTTCCTCCCCCCTCCTCCCCTCCCCCCTCCTCCCCTTCCGCCCTCCCCTCCCTCTCTCCTTCAGTCCTCCTTTCTCGCGCCGCGGTCCTCCCTCTTGCGGGCAGGCGCCCTCGCCATCACCGAGAAGTTCCCGACGGGTCCACCAGGCCCCCCGGAACAGGAAAGCCCGCCGTGGCCCTTCACAACCATGGGGGACTGGGGGTTCTTGCGCGGCGGCCGTCTGGAACAAAGGAGGAGGAGGAGGAGGAGGAGGAGGAGGAGGAGGAGGAGGAGGAGGTGGATGGAAGGACGGGGGCGGAGGGAGAGACAGCGAGGGGAGGGGAGGTGATAATCTCGCTACGAGGAGCCCCACATACTCATATTTGTCGCGTGTGTGCACGTACCATGTCTCATTCTGCTTCGCAATCCCC